ACGGAAATCTCGACGACGACCTTTGCAACGAAATAAGGACCTGAATAATGGAAATAATAATCTTAATGTATTTACCTGGAACGGTCGCTAATATGTCACAAACTGTGTGACATATTAGCACAATATAATGCTGATATTACTGCAATACAAGAAGTACGATGGACAGGCCATGGCATAATCCAAAAAGCAAAATTCAATATATACTATAGTTGCCATAGAACCAGACATGAATTTGGGAGAGCCTTTATAGTCAATAATAAAGTCTAGCACTTGGTTATAGATTTTAAGCCGATCAATCCGCGAATGAGCTGCTTAAGGATCAGGGGCAGGTTTTTTATAATATTTGACAAAAAGGGTTGTCGAGCTACTGTTGATGATGATGATGGAGCAACCAAAACAACTAGCTTCGGCGAAATGGGAGAAACCGAAGATCTCATAGGTGTTTCAAAACTTTGACGATACAATTTGTCATTTAAAATTACATAATTAGTGTCCAATGTCAATTTTACTACTTAATAGAAAGTTTTCCAACGTGGAAGGTATATAAACAATGATACCACACTTAAAATACATTAATCATATAATGATAATCAATTAATTAAAGTCTACTTACATGGACCCTTTCTGAACGTTTATGCATAGTTTGTCTAGCACTCTATTTGAGCCAAATGATTTTTCTACATCCTTCGCATATAGAGCAAGGTGGTCGTACATTGTGTTTCTAAAAATAAATAAAATTAATAAGTCATCTATTAATAATGAAATGTGTTTTAATTAATATAAGCTTTCTTTTACGTGAATATTGCTTGAAGTAAACAAGCACAGGACTGTTTTTTTATATTTTTTAAAATTTTTCTACTTAAAATTGACTTCAATGGATTTTAAATCCCAAAACTATATTATATTTATTACTTTCCAAAGCCACCTCTGTGTTTATTCGCTATCTTAACACAAATTTTCCATTTACTCTTTAGAAAAAAGTCACAATGCTAGTTAAACCATTGGACTTTGGGTTTACATCAGTATCTATATTATTGCATTCAACATACGCATGGCAGGTTTCGCGGGTGCCATGAAACCCATACTAACTTTTGCGGGGGGCAAAAATTGGGATCGATCACTTCTAGAAACGACTAATCTGTGAACATTTTGAGTAATATTAAATAAATGAGATATTAAACTAAAAAGTAAAATTTTTGTAATAAATAAGTTCTTCTTCTAGAGTGCCTGTTCGTTCCAAACGTTGGCGATCATTCTGGCTTGATGAATTTGTTGGTTGCTATACAAAATAGCTGTGTTGAGGTCTTTCTATACCATGCTCTCAATTATTCTTCGTCCTGTGACCCTTTTTCCTTTAATTTTACTTTGCAAAATGCATAGGAGTACCTTATATCTGCCTTGATTTCTCATTATATGTCCCAAGTACTGCAGCTTACGACCCCTCAAGATGTTGACCAAATCCGCCGTTATGTTCATTCTCCGTAGTACTTTTGCATTGGTGACTTTGTCCGTCCATGGTATCTTCAAGATCCTTCTGTATAACCATAGCTCAAAAGCCTGGAGTTTTGATAGAGTTTCCCCCTTCAATATCCACGTTTTCACTCCGTACAGAAGCACTAAATACACGTAACATTAATGAAGCCCTTTTTTTGTTTCTAGGGTGAGGTCATGGCTCTTGAATACAGAGCTCATAGTCAAGAATGTACTTTTTGCCTTTCCGATGCGACATTTAATTTCTAGGGTATTGTCCCACGACCTATTGATTCTAGTTAACATGTAGTTATACTGTGCGACACATTCAGTTCTTATTTAGTTCACATACAGATTTGCTTCAGTTATGTTTTCCTTGCTGATGATCATTAGCTTGGTTTTTGCTGGTGTTGATATCCAGTGCATAAGTTCTACTTGTTTTGATTATTTTATTCAATAAGTTTTGCAGTTCTTCTATTTTATTGGAAATCACTATTTTATCATCTGTATACCGCAGGTTATTAAGCTTGACTCCATTTATTGAGTCATCAATATCATTTAGAGCCTCTTTAAAAATGTGCTCTGAGTACGGATTGATATCAGTGGGGAAACTATGCACCACTGTCTCACTCCACTTGAGATTTTGATCTGATCTGTATATTCTCTATCTATTTGGAGCACCGCTAGCAGATTTCAATACAGGTTAGCTATTATTTCTAAGTCTCTTCCGTCAATATCTGTTCTCTTCAGCACTTCCATCATTTGTTCAAGTATTCTCTTCATACTTTCTTTGTATCTTCTTTGGTTATGGCAAGATTGCCTTCATAATCTGTTCTTTTACGCTGTTGCGTTTTTGCAACTTTCCAGCTATTTTCTTCACCTTTCGATGGACATTGAAGTTATCATATTGACTCTGATACTCCTCTTTTTCTTAACATTGTTCTGTTTTTTGTTTTATTTGGCTTCTCTTATCTTTCTTCTTATATTCTTGGAAATTTTGTTTGTTTTTTTTCTCTGATCCATAAGTTCAAGTATTTCATCGGTCATCCACGATTTCCGTTTCTGTGTATCATTCTTCAGGTATTGTTCTTCAATTTCTCTAACTGTTTCATAATATAGTTTCTGTATTTCATAAATAAATTAACAATTAAAAATAAGGTACCTATATATATATATATATTATATATATATATATATATATATATTATATATATATATATATATATATATATCTAATACGGGCCACCGTTGGTATTTGAAAGCGGAGATACAACATTTTGGTCGAAGAAAGACCGATAGATTAAGACGTTTGATAAACTGTTAAAAGAGCTCTATGCATTCATCAGAGGACTTTTAATATTTTTTTGTTTTTTAATGTGAATAATATTTGTCTATATTAAAATAAAACTAATCAAAAGTAATTATACTGTATATAGAGTTCCATTCGTTTTTATTTTAGCTTTTTTATGGTTTCTTATTTTTTTCGTAATTAATTTTTTAATAAATTTTATCCTTTGATTACTGAAATTTACTTACTATAGCTAATACGGTTTTTATTGTGGATTTATTTATGATTTAGTGTTTTTTTTTATTTATAATCAGATATCTCTATTAAATAGGCGTATATAAGTTAAAAAAGAGGGGAAACATCCTTCGAACATGATAGAAAACCATAATATTGTTGTAGCACTTTTATATTCTTTCGTATGTATTGAAATCACCCCGTAAATTAAAACACCGAAAAAGTATTTTCAATCCTTTTGCATCGTTGAAGTCGATAATAAACACATTTTAGTTTGTTTATATATTACATGCGTGTTTCCTTAGTATTTTCTTTGATCGTTAAGCCACTTAATATTGCGTCTAAAACAAACATCCATTTAGATCGCTGAGAAGGTTTTGCGGTGAAGAGAATTCCATCACTCTCGTTGGAGCCACTGTCAAAGGCAATTGATGTCCCTGTTAGTCCGAATTTTCTTCAAATTCGCAAATGTTTTTTCGTTATTCATTTTTATCTGGAATTAGTTAGTGAGCAGTTGAAAAGAAAGTTGCATATTTCTTATCGTGAAATGAGGTTTTGAAAAAGCCGAGTGTAAAATCTTGCATCCAGTGAACAACTTCCAGCCTCATTTTGTTTGTTTTAAGCCGTTTTAGAATATTTCCGCAGTTTAGAGGTGCATTTGTGTAAGCAGTGTGTTCCTAACCCCAGAAATTTTAAAGAAATTTTAGTGAAATCCAGCTAGCTTTTTTGTTGAACTTTTAAAGGAAAAATAAAGATTTTCTAATAATAATTGCTTTCATAATAGTTTAAGAAATTGTAATAATTAAAATTGTAGATGTTAGGGCATGGCCTAGCTGTAATTTTAATTGTTCTCGGTTTTAAAATTTAATATTGACATTTGACAGCTAGCTTTTTTGACATTTGGTAAATACCTAATCATAACAGATCTTGTTTTGTTTTGTTTTTGTTTTTTGAAAAAGGTTAACCAGTATGCATAGTTCCATTTAAAAGCTATTTTTTATTTCTAATTTTTTCCGTTAGAAATTGTCACCCATTAATGTAAGTTCCTGTAGTATCTCCAACTTCTAGAGTTGTAAACGGATAGTAATATAGTAAGTTTTTTTTTTGTTTTTTATTATTACTATTTATATTTGTAATTATTTGTGATGAGACAACAATAAATGTGTAATTTTTTTCCCTAAACCATTTTTTTTTACTTTTTTAAAAAAATTCTCTATCCCCTTTTTGTGTTTTTTAGGAAGGAAGAGTCTTTCTTTCATCCAGCAGAAAGATTCTTCAAAGCGGCATCCTTATTTTAAATAGCTTGAGAACCTTCTTGTATTGTGTTTTGTATGTCCAGGAAATTTACTTTACTTTACTTTTATAGTTGCCCCAATCCAATCCCATTGTTTAATTTACTTATCCATGACCCAGCTCTCAACTTTCAACCCCTTTTAGTAATACCCCATGTGGTAGGCAAATAATCGTTACACTGATCTTCAAAGATCTTCTAGATCTTCAAAATAATAGGCAAAGGGAAATCATTAGAAGTCGGTCGTTTTACCCACTTGGTATTCCAACTTTAAATGATTGGAATATAGTCCAACACAAGATGCAGCTTTCTGTTTTTTTGTGCAGATGTTTTGACATGAATGACAATATTTAGCCTAGATTGATAGAGACTGCATTTATTTCTAGTGGATTTTTATCATGAAATAAAGCTACAAAGAGATTTAAAATGCATCACAATACAAGTTGCCATGAATTTATAACAGAAACTTCGAGTTGTAACGAGAATCCGTAGATCTTCCAATTCAAAAGAAAAAAGGTTGTACCGAAGAAGAACTTATATTAAAAAATATATTAAGAAACTTATTGATATAATTATAGTTCTAGTAAAAGGTGGAAAACCTCTTTGTGGTCATGATGAAACAAAAGAAAGCAATAAAAAGGTTTGTTTCTCGAAATTGTATAATTTCTTAAATAATATTACCTTACATTTAAGGCATATCTAGAATCGGCCACAAAAAAACTTAAGGGATATTCAGAAGGAAGGAAAACAGCAGCCTCTTTCTGTGACTGACCATTGGCTATCGAATGTCTAACGAAACTCCAAAACATCTGCAAATTCGTGAAATACAGTATATTTGTTCAGAAATAATTATATTCTTATTATTTTAAAATAATAATTATAATACGTATTTGATTAATAGGGACCGATTTTTGCATGGATGACTTCTGAAACCTTTCTTTCTGATACACCTTCTGGGGTATCTCATGATTATTATGAAAAATTATCTCATAGGAATATGTTTTTGAACGAACCTGAACTTTTCGTCCTATCTAAAAATAGTAAAATTTGTACCAATTGATATGCCTCTATCTATAGTCTACAATATACCCTGTTAAATTGTTTAATTGACTCCATAGGCAATTACGGCACACACAAAGAACTATATCAGTCCCACCAACAAATATGTAATATCTCAATTCAAAAATAATGAGCAAATTCCATCTTAAATAATTAATATTGCGATAAAAAATAATTTTAGCGTACCAAATGAGGTTAATCATCAAAAGTAATGTATTATTCAAAACTTCACAAATTCTTGGCTCACACAAAATATTTTTTATATTCAAGTTCATTGTTTTATTAGTGTTTGTTTTTTGGTCAAAAACCAGTTTTTTCGTCCCCGGTAAAACATTATTTATTGTTTTTATTAGCATTTATATCGAAGGTGAA